AGGCTATATAACTCATTTTCGCCAAAAATGTCAGTTATGCCCTTTTGCCATGGGGGGGGGGGCAGATTAGTCGCAACCTGTGTGATGCCTGAAAGCTCATTTTCAACTTTTATCTAAAACTTTGCTAATGACTCCTGTTTAAATTAATCAGAACACAAGAATATATTCGGAAGGTAAATACCATGCTAACTCACATGCATCGCAGATGAGCAGTTAGGGGTAGAAGTCATTGACATGTCCTCGACATTTTTGAAAGATTTTGAGCGGTGCCCGACCACCTACCCTCTCGTCGGGAGCGTCGCACACACATTTTTTGTTGGAAATTGAAATGTAAAATGATTATTTATTTTCAAACAGAAAAACTACGTACAAATCTTATTTTGTACCATTTTATAAAGTACTGTACGTGTGAATATGTACTGTAATAACCTCTATTTTTGAAAGTGTGAACCAAAAAACAAAATAAGAAATCTCGAGGCTGTGCCAAAACAATATTAGGAATATTATTATTCTGGGCAAACTTTTGCTAGTTCTTATGAAAAAAAAAAAGCTTCTATTTTTCTTCTTCTTTGAAATAACTCTAAGCAGAACATTTATAAAGTTAAGTAAACTTCTACCTTTTCCCATACATGAACTTGTCATTCAAACACACAATTGATCCACATGCTTTAACTATTGTTTATTTGCACTGTTTATAACATGTAAAGTTATTTCATTTGATACTTAACAAAAGTAAATTTTGTGGTTATCTATGAGTTGCATATTTTGGTAGTTGAAGTAACTGTATGTATGTTTTTCCTCTACTTTGTTAGTGGAATAACGTTTTTAAAACTTATTTCAACTATCAAAAAATGTTCAATGGCCATTGTTTTCTAATAATCTCTCAGTATATTATTTGCATCTGTTGTGTAACTATTTTGTTATTCATTCAATTCTTGCTTATTAGTACAGAATTTAAATATTTGAAAATAAAAAAAAATATCATTTCTATTACTGAATTTTTTCATTGAGGCCATTTTTACCTACTTGTCATTTGGGGCAATTTTTGACGGGGACATTTTTTCCTGGGCCATTTTTACCGGGCCAGTTTTACCTACATTCATTTCAATTCACTTCAATTCAACAAAACATTTATTTTCTTCCAAATGCACTTAGAAAAACAAAATTACAAATACAAAATACAAAAATTGGAAGAAGGTCAGGTCCCGAGAAGTTGTTTGCAAAAACAAACATCTTGTGATGGGCCGGCCTGATAAAAATAAAAAAATAAATAATAAATAAAATAAATAAATAAAAAAATAAGAAAATATATAAAGAAAAAAGAAGAGAAAGCAGCTCAAAACAAACAGCACGACAAATTTCAACCTCAGTGAGTTTATTAATTTGAGATTAAGTGTTTTTTTCAATTTATTAGAAAAGGCTTTGGCAGAAACAGCATTGGTAATTGAGAATGGTAGATTGTTCCAAATAGAGGGGCCCGTATATCTAATGTTATGTTGGAAATAGTTTGTGTTGTGATAAGGGATGTGAATATCAGTTCTAGAACGCGTATAATAATTGTGAAAAGAGGAATTAGACATAAACATGTTACTTAAATGCTTGGGAAGGATGGAAAGCATGGCAGAGTATACAAATATACTTTGCTGGAATAAATTAATATCGTTTAATTTTAGAAAATTTAGATTGTAAAACAGATGGGAAGAATGAGATTGTGGGGGAGAGCCAGATATGATCTTGATAGCCTTTTTTTTTTTGAAGAATTTGAAGTTTGTTGATGTTAGATGGATATGTATTGCCCCAAACAATGTTGCAGTAGTTCAAGTAAGGAAGAATGAGAGAGCATATAGGAAGAGAGTCTAGAAATGATGCCAAGGCTTTTGGAAATTTTACTCTCAACTTCACTTATGTGAGCTTTCCATGTGAGTCCACTGTCTAAGTGTACTCCTAAAAATTTTGCAGATTGAACAGAAGGTATTTCGTGATTGTCAATGAATATTTTGTATGCTGAAATGTCGATATGTTTTAACCTTTTGGGGGTCCCAAACAGGATGAAGCTACATTTTTTATAGTTGACTGAAATTATGTTTGCAGAAAAGTACTGGGACATGTGAATCAAACTGGAGTTAAAAGTATCGAATAATGATTGAATATTTTAGAATAGTTGAGTAGAAATTGAGCAAGTTAGTGGACAGATGGATATCATTAATATATAAAATAAACAGGAGAGGACCCAGTAATGAACCTTGAGGAACTCCAGATGTGGTTGGGCTAAAGTTAGATATAGAATTACAATACTTGGTACATTGGGCACGATTTGAGAGGTGGCTTTTAAAGAGATCAAGTGCGGGTCCCCGTATTCCGTAGTGCGATAACTTATACAAAAGAATGTTGTGATCAATTGTATCAAAGGCCTTGGAAAGATCTATAAAAAGACCAATTCCAAGTTGGCGGTTTTCAAGAGCATTAACTATATTATTTGTTAGATCAATAAGGGCAATGGATGTACTGTGATTTTTCCTGAAACCATACTGCTTGTTATACAGTATGTCATATTTAGAAACAAATGAGAAAGTGCGATCGTATAATACTTACTCTTTCCAAGGCCTTCGAGAAGATTGATAAAAATGAGATAGGGCGATAATTGTATAGCTCGGATTTAATGCCAGACTTGTATACAGGGGTAACGCGCGCTAGCTTCATCCTGTCTGGGAATACACCGTTGGATAGGTCAAGATTAAAAATATGGCATAATGGAAGAGAGATAAGATTAGCAATGTGTTTGATGACTTTTGTGTGAAAATCATCAATACCGGAAGACTTGTTCGTTTTAAAGGATGTAAGTATTTGAATCACTTCAGTCACATTGACTGGGCTAAAATAGAGAGAATTAGGAAAATACTCCTGGTAAAAAATTTTTTTTTTTTTTTTTTTTTGGCTTGCTACCTTTATAGACCATCTGATTGACAGAAAAACATATATAAAATGTCATATTTCACTTATAAGTATTTTTTTTTAAATATTTTAAAGATGTCAATACAACCAGGAAGTAGAAATTTAAAACCCGGAAGTGATTTTCTACCATAAAAATCATCTTTTATGACATAAAAACAGTGAAAATATTTATTTTAACTGACTGAATTCTTAACACACTTTTCATTGTAAACTTTGGACTTGCTGGTTATGCATGAATGACTTTGCAAGCTTCCATTCATTGTTTACTGTACTGTTATCCAAATTTAAAATACCTTGAAAATTTCAAACGATCATTATCATGCCTAAAATCTCAAAATCCAAGCGTTTTAGAGGCAAAAAAGCATGGGAAGTTAAAAGAGAAAGTGCTAGACAGGAATTAGAAGATGTTACTGGTGGTAAAGTTGGAAAAAATAAAGTTTCAAATGCTAGGCCTAGATCTCAACAACTAGGAAGTAGTGGTGGTACTGCTGCTGGTGGGCGTAACCCTGATGAAGCGTTAGGCCTAGATGAGAGCATGTCAACAAGGGCTGGGACTAGTGCTAGCAGTATTGGAGCAACACCAAATGAAGAACCAGGTTCAAGTGAGAGTTGTTCACCTACTACAGCTTCTCAGAGGAAACTAGCCAGTTCCAGGGTTTCTGTAAACCAAACATACACCGGTACGTTGCCACCAACTGTACTGCCGTCTGCGGAAGGTTTTCGTTTAGTGGATATGGAAGACTTCCAGAGGAGTTTGGAGAATGTTCACAGATGTAGGAATGGTGAGTGATATGTAGATTATTTGTAATCTGAATGAACCATCAATATATATATTTATCATAATATTAGTAGGAGCCAGTTGTTTTTCAAAGTATGGTGTACCTATATTGTTGTTTCTATTTTGTAGTAACTAGTTGTTTTTTTGTTTTTTTTTATCATTGTTTGTCTTCAGCTAAGCTTGATGTCATTGAAACAGGACAGCGTAATGGACTTCACTCTCAATTTATTGCAAAATGCAAAACCTGTGGGAAATCATCGGAGTTTGAAACTTCTACTTTGCGGACAACCAAACTAGGTCGATCTTTCGAAGTCAACCGAAGAGCTGCATATGCCATGTCTGAATTAGGACTGGGAAGAGAGGCAATGGTCACGATTTGTAGTATTTTTAATATGCCACCTCCACCAAATCCTAAAAGTTGGGCAGACCATGTAACCGCAATTCATTCTGCATTGCACGAAGAGGTAACGGAGGAGTTGCGAAATGCTGGATCACGTCTACGGGAAAAGATGATAGCTGATCAACATATAACTGACAGTGACCAAGATGACCCAGTTGATGTCATGGTAACATTTGATGGAACATGGCAGAAACGAGGGCACTCATCAAACTTTGGAGTGGGTGTAGCAATATCGGTGGACACAGGAGAGATCCTTGATGTTGAGATTTGCTCCGAATGTCAGAAATGGGAATACCTGAAAGGTTCAAATATATATGACGAATGGAAAGCCAGTCATGAAGGCAACTGTCTAAAAAACTATGATGGTTCCAGCCATAGTATGGAAGTAGAAGCAGCCAAGAGGATATGGAGCAGGTCCATTGATCTCCATCAAATGAGATACAAATGGCTTGTATCGGATGGTGATGCAAAGACTTTATCTGCCTTGAACGCAATGAAGCCCTATGGTGACGATACAGTCGAAAAGCTTGACTGTATAAATCACGTCCACAAGCGACTTGGAACCAACCTCCGCAACCTCAGAAAAACAGAAAAAACGTGAAAGGAGGGAGGGGTGGACTAACGGATGCCTTCATAAAGAAGTTGGGTGATTTTTATAGGAGTGCGATTTACAATAATATCACACACTCAACTGACGAAAATGAAAGGAAGAAAGCTGCACTCAATATGCAAAAAGAGATCATGGCTGGGCTATATCATAGCACAAACCTTGCTGACAAGGATGAACAGCACCAATACTGTGTAGGTACCCAATGGTGCAAGTACCATAATGATAGGGAAACCTATAAAGAAGATGCCCGACTGCCCTCTTCTTTTCTGCCCTATATGAAACGTGTGTATGAAAGGCTCAGTGATATCAAATTATTACAACGCTGCTTGCCAGGACTGACACAAAATCAAAATGAGTCTTTCAACAGTTTGATATGGGCAAGATGCCCAAAGGAGAGAAGTTTTGGACCCAAGTTTGTGAATAGAGCCGTGTATTCGGCTATTCTGCATTGGAATATTGGCGCAACAAGTCGTGAACGCGTGATGGAGAGGATGGCTTTATCAGTAGGGCAACACACACAAACCATAAATGATAAGAAGGACACTGACAGGATAAATCAGTCTGTGCGTAGAGCCAATGATGACCAGAAACAAAAAAGAAAACAAAAAAAGGATGATAAAATTCGTTCGGAAGAGCAACAATTAGAAATTGAGGGCCCAACTTACGGCAGCGGACTTTTTGGAGACATTTCAGATTAGAAAAAAATAATTAAAAAAATATTTAAAAAATGTATTGTAGACCTTAGGTGTAGGTTTTGTTATACCTGAATACCATATGGTTATGTTTCAAAGTTTTAAACATCATGAAAATGGAATTTATTAATTTTAATTATTAATATTGTACGAAATTCTATGAACGGAACTTTACACGGCGTTTTCTCAGAATACCATATTTTAATTACATAATTGCTAATAACTTCACAACGAATAATAAGAATGTTATGAAACTTGGCAGGAATGCTCTTTACAGCAAGGGCTTCAATTGGATTATTCAAAATTTCTCTATGTGTTATACCTTTCATTTTATGAACAAAATATTGCTATGTTTTCACACGAATCTGGAAATTTTTCATTAGGTCATCATTTGGATTCACTTTTATATATAGCTAAAAGCCATAATACAGCCATTGATTGATAAGTGAATATCACTTTGGTTAAATATGAATGCCATACCTTGAGTAGATAAAATGTTTTTAGCATTTGAAGATTGACGGTCCATTTTTATTTTGAAAATATTTTTTTAGTTCATGACATTGTAGTTTCAATAAATTCAGAGTTATGGTTTAAATTTACATACAGTCTTGTAGAGTATTTATTCAGCTTCAATTTGGTATATAACTTGATGCATTGCAGTCACTAATATATTTTCTATAATTTTTTTTTACACGTGGGTCCTAAAATTATCCGTTACTAGGAGTATTGCCCCCTTATGATTTATTGACATCGGGAATTTTGTTAGCAAGTGAAGGTCCAATTTCGACAAAGTATTTGTTAAATGCATTAGAAATTTTATTGGGATCAGTGGTCATTATTCCATCACAATTTAGGGAAGTATTAGATTGCCGATTATTTTTTTTGTTCATCAACAAGTTGATGGTCTTCCAAGTTGCCTTGATATCATCTTTATGTTTAATAAATGTATTTTGATAATACTTAGTTTTAGTTGTTTTAATTATTTAATTTAAGAATTTAATTTATTACGGAATTGTTTGCAATTTTTTTCGTTAGCGGCAGACGGGCAGTGCAGAAATTTAGCATATAATTTTTGTTTATATTTAATCGATTTTAGTAAACCGTCTGACATCCACGATTTGAGTTTATTGTTTTTCTTAATGTGTTTTTGAGGAGGAAAATGTTTTATCATAAAGGGATTTCAGTGAATTTTCAAAATTGGTATAGGCTGCAACAGGGTCCTGTGTATTAATGACATCGAGCCATTGTTGCGAAGACACATCTACACGGAAATTTTCTAAAGTAGTTGGATTAATTTTCCTAAAACTAGATGCATATTCATCCTTACTTGAGCTAGTTGCAACATTGGAGAAGTGTGATATATTAAAAACAGGGAGATGATCCGTTATATCACTGTAAATTAATCCACTTAAATTGGGGTACTCAAACAGGTTAGTAATAATATTGTCAAGCAAGGTAGCGGTAGTTTTTGTGATACGAGATGGTCTATAGATACGGGGAAGATAATGGTTACTAAAAAGTGAATTAACAAAGAAGCGGGCATCGTTATTGGAATCATGTTTAAGGATGTCAATATTAAAGTCACCGAGAATGTAAACAATTTTATTTTCTCGTGATAATTTGGAAAAGACGTGGTCAAGTTCATTAGTAAATTGAAAGGGGTCAGAAGAGGGTGGTCTATACACTGTGCCAATGACAATGTTTTTTAAGTGAGGTCTTACAATTTCAATAAAAATAGATTCGGAGGTGGAGGGATGAAGAGTTTGATTATTTTGTCTAGAAAATTGTAGACTATCACGAACATACATGGCTACTCCACCACCGTCTTTGTGGGTTCTATACGGAAGCTTAAAGTGACCTTCCGCGTTTCCGAGTTTCCAAGATAATTATCATGGAAACATGGAATAAACACTTATTAAGACGTCTTTCCGAGATAATTTATCTCGGAAAGACGGATTTCCGAGATAAATTATCTCGGAAAGACGGAATTCCAAGATAATTTATCGTGGAAAGACGGAATTCCAAGATAATGTATCTTGGAAAGACATCTTTCCAAGATAATTTATCTTGGAATTCCGTCTTTCCAGTATAATTTATCTTGGAAATACGGAATTCCAAGATAACGTATCTTGGAAAGGCGGAAGTCCAAGATAAATTATCTTGGAAAGACGTCTTTCCAAGATATGTTATCTTGGAAAGACGGAATTCCAAGATAACATCGAGGAGACGAAATTCAAAATTCAAAGATAGCATGAAAGCTGTAGTAATTATAAGGAAAGTTGAGCTACCTGTAACTTACCAATGGATAGGCCAATATTCAATTTGTTCAAGTTCAAAGTTGTGAGTGAATATTGTTGTATTTCGTTGTGTGTTGTTCTGTATTGTCACGCATTGTTCTGTATGTACGCATCAACATCTGCTTATTAAAACGCATGAAAAATACGCCTACGTTAATTTTTAATGTATAAAAATTAAGTTCGTTTTTTTTTGTGCCCAAATTTGTTTACAAAAACGTAATGCAATAATAGCATATTGACTACTATTGTATATTTTCGGAAAATATTTCAGCCGCTCTAAATCTCTTTCCTATTCTTCCTTCTTCCTTTATTCTTTAACAATTTTGCGTTTTAATCATATTTTTCATAATTTTATACACTCATATAGTAAATTATTTAGGCCTAGACTAGGCTATACTTCGGCTTGGCTATTACTATATTATTTAAATATACAATTTTGATAAATAAGATTATTTTAACATTGGAAATTTAAATGTAAATATAATGACGTTAACGAATAAATAACAATAATTAAAACGTGTACATAGTATCACTACTACAA